AAGTCATAATGATAAAATATATACAATAATAAAGATGTAGATATTATCATTATCATTATACGTATTCTGTATAAATGTGTTAATTTATCATTATTTACCAAGTACAAATACCTTAATTGGTGATAATTTATGAACTTAACCATATGTATAATTATGTATGGACATTTACGATATTAGTTAGTAACTATGCGCATAATGTGCATAAATACACATGCATATATGCATGCATAATGCGCATAGGCACATCTTTAATTATTACTAATCTTTAATATTTATATATAAATAATCTAAAAATAATATAACTAATATATATATATTACAAAATATTAAAAATCATTAACTTGATAATATATGTAAATAAGAACTTAAAAAATTATATGATACTCTTAAATTTAAAATTCAAGTTAATTATTTTAATGAAAGATTATAATCTAAATACTTTAAATAAATGAAGAATTTTGATTAGAAAAGAAAGAGATAAAATCAAAAAAAAGTAATAAAAATATATTAATAATAAAAAATAAAAATTACATATTTATATTTTAAAACTTATTAATAAAACTAAGTAATTGAAAATTAAAAATACTAATCTTATATTTCAAAATATTTATAAAAATCTTTCTATTACAAAATTTAATACTAAAAATAATATAAAATTTAAGAAACTTAAATTATATTTATAATCAAGATATTAAAAAATAAATTAACTTCAATTTAGAAAGATATATTTTTAATTTAAAATAACTTCTTAAAAAAAGAATCTGAGAATTTATCTTTCAAATATAAAATAACTGAATTAAAATATATAAAGAATAAATTAACTTCAAAGATTAATAAGCTAAAGTATTTAAATTAAAGAATTTAAAATTAAAAAATATTCTGAAACTTATAATTACTAAAGATGATAAAAAATATATCAAATTCTAGTAATATCTTTACAATTTAGTATTTCTATTAAAAGTCTCAAATAATATTTAGTATGAAGAAAAAGTATAAAAAAAAATAAGATCAATACTAATATACCAACTTATGATAATATAGTTAACTCTATATCTAAAGAAATTAGTAATTTGAGACTATGTCTCATTTCTAAAAGCTAATATCAAAATCAGTCTCAAGATAAATAATAAAACTATATATCTTAATGTAAATCAGCTTCTAGCTAATACTAGTAGAATAGCGCCAGAGCTCGACCAAGTTCACTAATACAGCGGCGAAAAGTATTCCTATTGATGTATTCTGTCAAATCTTCGGAATCAGTAATATTTTTGCTAATATTCCACACCTCCTCATCCCGAAGAAGACAGGGTGGCAGGTATAAATAAAAATATGTTGATCCATGAAAATTTCTTGAAGAGGACCTTGAATAGTTCCAGCAAAGATTGGCACATAGAATGTATCTCCACCACTTCAATTTAAACCTCCAACGGCATCCACGATTAAGCGAACCGACTTTTTCCCATTGTACAAATTGTGCAGATGGTTTAATTCATCGATCCCAATGACGATAAAGTTAATATTGATGGTAATATCCTCGAGAATAACGTCAAGTACAGAGCCTATAACAGTCTTTGCCACACATTGTCTGAAATTCTTCAAACCCATATGAACCACCAGATATAAAATGTTCGTAGAGTATTCGCAGTGCAACTGATGTTTGACCAATGCGTACATCTTCCTCTGTTGCACAAGTACCATTGCCAAAGCTGACATTGATAGTGAACAGCCGATTTTCGATTGAATCTAGAAGGGCATTGTCAATTTTATATTGTCAAGCTTGGCTGCGTAGTAAAGTTGGCAATTCCTGGAGAAATCGGCTCTTTCCTGAACCTGGTCCATTAACCAAAATGGTTGTTTCGATCTGTTGCCTTGCGTTTTTCAAACCTTTGGCAAATGCCAATATGTAAATCATCGTCTTTAAATAATATTTCCATTGTTTCATCTCGACCCTGCAAAGGAAACTTGGCACCATACGAACTCACTAACTGATGAAGTTTATAAATTAGCGTGCAATCAGACAAAGAAAAGATAAGACATCGAATATGAAGACAGAACATACTTTGGGTGCCGCAATTTCATTTGAACGCTTCAAATTTTTTATCCAGTTATAAATTGATTCGGTGTCATGCCAATTAACCGAACCTATATGAGTACCAGTGAGTTATGAAACAGAACTACAGATACTCAAACTATTTAATTGGAGACACTGTACCTTGTGTATGGATTTGCTGGGAAAATCCCGCTTTAATACGAAAAAAAATATCATTAGCGGAGTCTGGTACTTTACCTTGCTCTTCGCCTTTAATTTCTTTGATCAACGCTGCTATGGCTTCTGCTGGTCCGCCTGACATTCCCCATTTTAAAGGAGTTTCTGGACTTAATTTGAGGAAAACACAGCCGGCAACCCAATTATTTTGATGTCTTGATCCCTAAGGAACAGTTCACTTTTACCAGTCCAAGAATCCGCCAGTCGAAGAGGTACAGAAATGGAATGTCATTGCTTTTCTTGAGTCCAAAAGAGATAGTGGAACGATACAACTACGACTTCTACGCGACGTGATAAATTTTTACAAGTAAAACTTCTACAAGTAAACTGATCCCGATATTTTTATAACTTGGTCAATGTATTTTGAAATTAGACTTTTTTCCAATTTAAAATAATAATATTTCGCTGAGCTGACTTTGACTTTAAAAATAGGTGGCTGAGCCGGCTTGACAATAAATTATGGCTGGATAAGCCGGCTGTATAAAAGCACTCGATCATTATTTGCATTATTTTTTTTATGTGGTTTTCATAATAAAATTATAAAAATGTTGTATTTATATATTAAATTGAGAAATGTGCGGCATCCACCTATATGTAACATTCATGATCCAAAATAAGTATGTTATCTTTGAGTTGACTCTTTACAATAAATTATAACCTTTTATTTTTAATTTAGAGAAAGGGCGCACAATAGAGCTAAATAAAATATTACAAGACTTGAGATTTGGTAAAATCAATTCTGTTGTTAAAAAATGTTACGACAGATATATTTTAAGTTGTAAGGCTGGGCTAGAGGCAGAATATGAAATTTTGACAGAGAACAAGTATTGTTAAATATAATGAGAATGAAACAACACTCTATCAAAAGTTATTGAATCTCCGTGTGAGAACATGCCAAGCGTAAAAACTAGTAATCTTAAGTAATCTTGTTCTCACGATCCGTTTCTCAAAGGTAATGGTGTTTAGTATTGAGATAGTATTGAGGTGAATCAAGAACGGGGTTTTAAAATGCCGATCACGGATGAATCATGAATGGGAATTTTACAAAAAAAATTTTCACCTCCTTAGGAACAAACAAATTTATAAAAAATCTAAGAACGTAGCTTTGTTTAGCTTGACAACTTTATCATTTTAAGATTATGTGTCTATTATATTTTTTAACTGAGGGAAAGCAAATTTAAAATTTTCGTTGATGTGCACTGGACTCGTTGTTGAAATTTTGGGAACACACCACCGTGAATAATCGAGGATTCTTCCAGAATTTACGTTAGATGTCAAATCGATCATAGAAATTATTTCAAAGATATGTTACTATTATTCCTTATTATTTATGTTCTAGATTTCTCATTTATATATTTCATGGTCGTCACAGAAATCATTGAAAATTTTTGAAAGCGATGAAGAATTCAATTTCTATATGCACTTATAGATGAGAAAAATGTGTAAATTGAATTTAATGAGCAAATTTTTTCCGTATTTAAGCCCACACAAAAGGTTTTTGTTCTTAAATTATAAATTATCAATCGCAATCTATAATAATAGATTTAATACATGGATGCCCGGCTTACTGTAATATGTTTACGGTTATAGAAGACATCTTGCACCAGAATAATTGATTTTGAAAGTTCGTAAGGGAGTAACCATATCGATATACATGTATATTTTTTATATATATATATATATATATATATATTCAATTTAGATGAATACACACTTATTTTGTATTGTATGACTTTAATAGGTAACAATAAAGCTCGAGATAAATACATTATGTTTATGTAATCATTCTAAATATAATGCTAATGCAAGCTTATGAAAAAAGAGAAATTACAGTATTCTCTTGTTTTCATCAACCTTTATATTCTTTATCATCCCTGGGGGGTATATTTTTATTGACTAAAAAAAAAATCATCGAACCTAGAAGAGATTCATGTGCTATGTATGTACATGTACTAAAAATTAGCCCCTTATAAAAAAGAAATCAATCGATCAAGAACGACTCATTTATCAAACGTTTGTTCTGTGTAATTTTAGATCTTTACAATTTATTCCCAATTATGAGTTCGACTAAAACACTGACTAGCATCTCTGCTACATCCTCCAACTCTTCTCGTACTATGTTGGGTTCGGCTGGGATAAGTCGAGGTGGTGGTGGTGGTGGTGGCGTAAGAACAAATGATGCTTCGTCAAATACGACAAATACAGCTAAATCTTCAGGATCAGAGAATGAAGACACTTGCCCAGTTTGTAAAAATTCTCGATATCTATCGCCAAACATGGTTTTATATGTGAGCGAATGTTACCATAAAATGTGGGTTTTTATTTTTTGAGTGTTGACATATTGATCTGACTTTTTTTTAGATAAAATATTTTAACTCAACCTTTGATATTTAATTTTCTTAGGTGTGAGGGGTGTGTAAATCGAACATTTGCTAATGGGGCACCAGTTTGTCTTGAATGTGGTAAAGCAGTAAAACGGATAAATTTCAAATTACCTACATTCGGAGATTTACTGGTTGAAAAAGAAGTAACTCAGAGAAAATGGGTTGCTTCACAGTAAGTTTTTGGATGATGATGATACGATGACGATTTATACTATGATTGTATAAATATAAACGAATAATCTTAATAATAAAATAATGACTGCTCAATTTATTATCATAAAAAGAATTTTAAAAAGAAGAGAAGATTTTGATACCTTACGAGAATTTAATGATTATGAAGAAATTATCGAAGATTTTGGTGAGTGTTTCCTGTTATCATCGCTTTAGAATGAAAATTTGAGATGATGATGAAGAAGAAGAAGAAGAAGAAGAAGAAGATACTAATTCAGTAACTTTTTTAAAAAGTGTGGAATTTAACGTATGATATTGACGTAGAAGAGACGAGAGAAAAAGTTAGAGAGTATGCAAAACAAAATCAAGATATATTAAAGAAAAATCGGGACAAAATAGTAAATATCTTAGTTTATATAGTTGTCCCCTATAAAAACACCATAAATAAATCATGGCTAAAACTCTTTCCTCTTTTTTGAATAGAGGGAGGAAGAAGCGATAGAAGAAGAACGTAGAAGAAAAGAAGAAAAGCTAAAAGAGGAGAATTTCCAAAAATATCAACAAATTCTCGCAGAAGAGCAACAACTTAAATTAGCCCAAAAGAATGATGCAATTGATATACTGGTTAGATAAAAGGAAAAATACATTATCGAGATTACTTTCGTGTTTTTAATTAACCTACCTTCCTGATTTAATCATAAAACAATCAAGGCTACACTTAAAGGAGATGCCAAAGCATTGTTGGCGGAGCAGAAAGCTGCCAATGATCGACGGAAAAATAACTCATCATCATTACAAATACCGATCCTTCCATCGTTGGACAGTGGTGTTGGGGTTTATAGCAATGAGCAAGAAGTCTCGGATGATTTTCCAATGGAACTCGACCCTACAAGTTCACCTTATGAAGATGTTCGCTTATATACACATAAAGAGAAATACAATGACATGTATGATCATTTGATTTTTTTATTTTTTTATAAATTATGTTACATTATCATCGTTATTAACCTCTCACAAAAAAACATTAGTTATACGGAGATCAATGATAAACTTAAAGCTGGTGGTTTTTCAATAAAATTTGTACACGAGCGTGCACTTCAAGAAGCTTTTTCTGGCTTATTTTTGCCTCCTTTAATAGCGAAAGATGAGGATGGTGATGTGCTAATGTCATAATATGTCTGATCTGATTAATTCAACATGTGGGGGTGAGGAGAGTATATAAGAAACATAATAAAAAGGGTAAATTTAGATTTATAAAAAGAAAAAAAAGTAGGTAGGTCTCGTCATTATAACCCTAAAAACAAGAGTAATAAAGACCGTTTTTTGCTAAATATAGAAAATTAAATGATTCGGACATTTCTATTTTTGAACATACATTTATCCAAATACAAGTAAAACTGCTATGCACGCCCAACGTTCCAAAATTTTACTGGCAGACAAAATAATTGAAATTTAAGATGATCCATTTTGATTTGTTATTGTTCAAAAAAAAAATTCGAGCACCTCTTCTCCCCTTGGTATCATTATACATTAGCAAAAACAGGAAGAGAATCCAAAGATTCGCAGATGAATTTTTTTCATACTATTCAAGCCGCGGAATCTCTAGAGTCCGCTCATCCTAAAGTTTCATCAACCCTTGATTTATTACGAAAAACGCCAACTAAAGAAGAGGTGCTCGAACAACAAAAGCGTGTTTTTGAAAAATTTGCCTCGATTGATAAAGATGGTCAAAAATATATGACGCAAGATGATTTCATTGCGGCTATTGCACCCGATGAGGATTACAAAAAGATACAGAAAGAACAATTCGCGATCCTATTTCGGGTTGCTGACTCTGATCGGAAAGGTCTGGTATCATTCCAAGACTTTGTCGTTTTTGAAAATTTATTATCGAAACCAGACGCGGATTACGAGATTGCGTTTCGGCTTTTTGACATTAATGGTACTGGGAAGATTAGTTTTGATCATTTCAAAGAGGTCTTAAGTGCGAATCTGGGACCAGATAGCGTCCCGTTCGATTATAATTGTGACTGGTTGAACTTGTATGTGGGTGTGGATGGGAAAAAGCACGATCTCACATATAATGAGTTTTCCCAATTGTTAAAAGGGATTCAGGGGGAGCGTCTTCGGCAAGAATTCAAGTATTATGACAAAGATCGAATCGGATTTATAAGCCCGGATGCCTTTAAGAAGATTATTTTATCGATTGCGAGGCATAAGCTTTCCGATTTTTTACTAGAACAGCTACCCACCTTGTGTAACGTATCAGCGGGTAATAAAATAAGTTATGCTAACGTAGTTGCCTTTTATAATGTGGTCAAACAAATGGATATGGTGGAACGTATTGCGCTTAAAGCTATTTCCCAAAGTAGCGATGGTCGAATCACAAAGAATGATTTCTTAAATACTGCGGCGAAGTCGACGCGTTTCTCGTTATTTACTCCATTAGAGGTTGATATAATCTTTCATTTTGCCGGTCTCGGCAATCCATCCGGCAGACTAGGTTTAAGGGATTTCGCACAATTACTGGATGCGAAATGGCAACGACCAGCTCAAGTTAAAAAAATCGTTGCAGTACCAACAAAAGAACACGAGGGAATATGGTGGGGAATCTTGCATCAAATTTATTCTTTTACATTAGGTGCAATCGCTGGTTCTTTTGGTGCTACCGCTGTTTATCCCATTGATCTTGTAAAGACACGAATGCAAAATCAACGATCAAAGGTGGTCGGAGAATTACTCTATCGAAATAGTATTGATTGCTTTAAGAAAGTCGTAAAAAATGAAGGTGTATTGGGTCTTTATAGTGGATTAGGACCGCAGCTAGTCGTAGGTATTCATTTATCATGGAAAGGGATAATCATGAGTCTGTTCTAATGTTCCTCCTATTTTAGGGTGTGGCACCGGAAAAAGCTATTAAGTTGACGGTAAATGATTTTGTTCGAGGTTTGAGAAAAGATCCTAAAACAGGTGAGATTACATTGGCAAGTGAAATCTTTGCTGGGGCTGCTGCTGGAGGTTGTCAAGTGGTATGTATGTAGTCTATATATTGATTGTCGATAAACAACTGATATAGGGTGATATTTTATTTTATTCTAGATTTTTACAAATCCATTAGAAATTGTGAAAATTCGATTGCAAGTTCAAGGAGAATATTTGAAAATGAACGTAGATGCACCGCGAAGATCAGCCATCTGGATAGTAAAGCATCTTGGTATCGTCGGATTATATAAAGGCGCGTCCGCCTGTCTTCTTCGTGATATTCCATTCTCTGGCATTTATTTTCCAGCATACGCTCATTTGAAGAAAGATGTTTTCAAAGAAAGACCAGACAAAAAACTTAGCATCACCGAGCTTTTATTGGCAGGCGCAATCGCTGGCATGCCAGCTGCTTATTTCACAACGCCGGCCGATGTAATAAAAACACGTCTTCAAGTTGAAGCGCGTACAGGAGAAACTGTATATAATGGTATCCTAGATGCGGCGCGAAAAATTTATCATGAAGAAGGTCTAAAAGCCTTTTTCAAAGGTGGACCAGCACGTGTTCTTCGATCCTCCCCACAATTTGGTGCTACTCTAATGGCTTACGAGGTATTGCAACGATGGCTGCCTTGGGGCTCTACAGAAGAACAAGTTGGTAAAGCGGTTGGAAGTGTTGTAGAAACTGGTGATTTGGGATATCTGAGAAGTCGGAATGCACTAAAGATTCTTTTGGTAGGTTAACAGTCAAATAGAATAGAAAATTCATGCCTTTTCATAAAATGCTTAATCGATATTTTATTATATATTAGGATCTTGATTACAAATTCGGTGTATCTCCAAAGTCACTACCCACGCCCGCGCAACAACCAGCATAATTTTTTTATATTTCTCCTTTCTAATTCAAAACGGACATTCGACTCTTTATACAACACTTAATTTTTGTATATTTCATTCGCACATTCATCTTGAAACACAAAACCAAACATTCATATAGATTTTAGAATTGTATAAATTTTCATTATATACATAATATAGACTTAATTTATTTATTATTGGTGAATACGAAGGTGGCATAATTTTCAAATATCACGCATTTATGCATTTTATCGGCATTTTTCAATTTAATTAATTTATTCTTCACTTTATAAGGAAAAATTTGTTATTTAGACATATTCTACCATTGCAGAATTGTTTAAAAAGTCATTTGTTATTTGCATTTTTTCGTGATAAAATTGATTTATTAAATAAAAATAAACATAGAAAATACTCGCGTAAATTTTCTCTTACATGAATGCAATAAAAAATTAAATGATATTTATATATAATAATGTACAAAATGTTTGTGACAAATATTTAAAAAAAATAAATGAAATGATCAACCCCAAATATAAAGCTCTAAGAGGCAACCAAAAAACCTGAAAAATCGAACTCTGTCTACCTGACACCATAATATTTAATTCCATTAGTCCCAATACGTAGAAAGCGAGGGTTGTTCTACACTGGTTAGTAATTGGAGTGAAACATAGCTACCCTCATCAATCCGTTTGTTCGCGGATCTTGAATCCTCATTTAGCATTTGATTATGGTTATTAGTCTGTATATTTGTGGTAGATGAGGAGTCATTAGTACCACTAAAACTCGATTTCTCATGATAATTATTGAGACGATGCTCACTCTTGTCATAATAATCATCGTAGATATCAGTATTTTCATTGTCACTTAACATCCAGCTCAAGGTCCATTCCCATAATGCAGAGACAATTGATATTTGTGGTGCCATCGATGGTTCTCGTATTACTGGTCTTCGTTTGGGCGGAAGGATTCTGATAGAAGTTTGAGTGGCAATTTCTTTGGTTTTTTGTTCCAAAAATTTATCATCAGGGCTTATTGTTTGTGATAGTTCCTCAGAAAGAGATTCGCCAGATTCATGCACACTCGATAATTGTGGCTTTTCGCGTTTGATTTTACCAGTCATTGTCAGAAATATCTCTGATACATACGTACTCCACGCAGCATTAATTTTCTCTTCATTTCCTTCGATGGAATTTTCGCTTGCTATCAATAGTTCTACCAACATTTTTGGTATTGGTATATTCATTTTCTCTTCAAGGATCGCAAAACATTTTGATAATCCAATTTTCGCTTTTTCTCTGATATCTTCAGCGTCACCTGTGGTACCTTCTTTTATTAATTCAGAATACTCTGGAAGCCAATCTTTATTATGAGAATGAATAAGAGAAGCTAATAGCAGTCCATTATTCATACTGTTAAATTCTTCAATCGGATAGACGGTAGCTGGCAATTGAGATCCATAATCAACAAGTTGCATGTTCAGCCAAAATATCAACCACGAATTAGAAGTAGGCGGCGTAGAATTTGATCGTTGATGTTTATGCAGAGTTTGAAAGCGCGTAGATTGCGGACGAACACTTTTACGCGATGGCAGTGATCCAAGAGGAGCAGACATTCGTTTATCTGCGCGTATAACCTTTGTAGTTGATTTTGATGATTCCCCAATTAATTCTGAAATTTCTTTTGAACTAATTGATGTCACTCCCGTTAGTGACGAATCTCTTGATGAAGATTGAGAACGGAATTCATCATTTTGTTCAGATATATTTGAAGATGGATGTTCGATAGCTTTTGTATCTTGATGCTCTTCGAGTGTAATGGAAGATGATGAGGTAGAAGATTGTTGAGTGTTATGAGCTGGAATTTTCAATGGAGGCAAGGATTCAATATTTGTTCTTTTAAGTTGCGCCGCTTCATTCTTTGATTGTCCTTGGATTTCTTGCCAATTCGTTTCCTTATCATCATTTGCAACATCTTGTTCTTTCAATTCTTTTTCATTTTCTTTGTCGTCTTGAACATCAATAATATTATTTCGATTACTACCATTATTATCGTTAATACTGTCATTACTTTGATTAATGATATTGGCATCATCTTTATTCTGTTCATTGATATTGTCGTTATCATTTTCAGTGACCTCTCTTTCAATTAGTTCTTCAAACATTTGATCTGATTCCTCAAGCAATCTATTTAATTTATCTTTCGATTTTTCTGAATATAATGGATGTTTTCTCATCATTTCTTGTTTCCGTAATTGTTCCTGTTGTTCCTGTAGTTGTTCTTGAGTTTGCGTAACTTGATTTTCAAACAAGACAATACGATCATAAAGATCATTATGAGTAACATATGGTGATTTTGGGCTAGAGGGTTGAGGATCCGAAAATTTATCCCAAATGGGAGAGGTCACTAAAGTTGGAGAACTGACACTTCCCTCGGGCCAATACGTATTTTCACTTTCTTTTAGTAAATATTCGTTTTCACCAAACAACTCTTCCTCTTCTCCTGCTCTTTCCTCCTCAACTTCAAATATTTGAGATAATTGTTGATGTTTTGCGATCATCAGCCATAACAATCCCAAGGTCAACTTAACATTGCCATCTACGATATCCACCGGACCGATTGCTTTTAAAGCGGCTAACCCAGAATCATCCAATTTCGTTTCCAAGAATTTTAATACCTTGGTGACATTAGCAACATAATGATGACGCGTTTTACCACGTTCTGGCTTCGGAAGATCTTGATCATTAGGATGAAGTGCATGCAATAGTTGTATCAAGCGTTTCCCGTCGCGAAAATCTTGATCAATTGCGGTAATCTCGGGAATTTTACTTGCGTTTTCATCATCAAGTGGGATCGTTCGTAATTGAATGTTTACCCATTTTGTAAACGTTGCTTTTTGTGCAGGAGTATACCTATCCGTGGATACGGTGTAAAACTTTTGCTTGACATTTACGACGGTGGTTGTTTTATCCCATTGTTTAATAAACGAACTACGTCGACGTGGTTTATTTGAGGATGGAGATTGTGGTGCCGTTTGTTCTTGAGACATTTGAGTACACGCTATAACACGGTCTCGCAGGAATATGAATAAATTTTTTTAAAGTTCTTAAAGAGAAGCCGAGTACTGAAGACTGTGTAAAGACGCGTCTAAATATCGAATAAGACGGAAAGTTCAAGGCAAATGGGAATAAACGTTTTCAGGGTGGATAAAAGGAACCAAGATCCACTGATAAGTTAACGAAAGAAGGGGTATTGTGAACCAGAGGACTGTGAATCAGAAGACTAGTCTTGGCCTTGTTCACAACATGCACAAAATTTATGAAATTTATGGGGGGAAGAAACGTCACCTCACAGTTTATATAATGTTACACGATGTAGTAACGGAAAATAGACTACACGATTTTTAGAATCTACATAATCTTCGATAAATTCGATAAATAGAATATAATATGCCAACGTGTGTAGAGTGTGGAGCACCTGTTACAAATCTCTACACGGAATACAGTAAAGGAAATATTCGTCTGACACAATGTGTTGCGTATTTTTTTTTTTTGGTCTTGCGATATTTTTTCCAGTCTCGTTTTCATAGTATTCATCAAGATATATTTCTTTCTTTTTAGGAAAAATGCAAAAAATTTGCGGATAAATATGTTGAACATGATTTTGTCATAATTTTCATTGATATGATTTTACATAAACCTCAAGTATATCGACATTTATTGTTTAATCGATTAGAATACCGAGATCATGGGATTGATGTAAGTCCCTAATTTCGGCGTCAAGGATAATTTTTTGAATTCCTCATGTGTTATGTATATGTGTGTATATATATATATATAAAAATATGGCGAACTGATTTTCAATGATTTCTTATAAAAAATTAGCCAAATGTAATTAAACTTGGCGTAATATTGATAATGTTTGATGTTTGTATCCTTTTGATTTGAAGAAAAGAATAATGGATTTAAGACATCAAATTTATCAATCTTTTATTATCTTCATCTTTTATAAATCCATAATATTTACAATAGATATAAAATGGTTTCGACTGGAAAAGCATTATCCCAACAAAAATTTCCCGTTTAATGAACAACCATTGTTCATCCTATATCTATACATACTATTTCTATGCGTGATTGGTAACTATTATTGATATCCCTTTTTCTTTTTTTCCTATTCAAAGGTTAATTGATTAACGGGTGATATTACAGAATTTATAGTTTTCCAATTTGGCGTAAGATTGGCTGTCAGTCTTTATATCGGAGATCGATATGCAATAATAAAGTATCTTCATTCGATATTTGATTTTTATTCTGGTGTACATTGAATTTTCTAATTAATCTATGTTTTCGTCTTCTGTAGGTATAATTACATCACTACAGCATTAATAATTTCCAGTTTTGGGAAATTATTGTTAATATTAATGGTGATTTGGGATTATAACGAATTAGAGTATTCGTGGTTAATTAATATAGTTGTACTTACATCGAATATTGAGGCACTTTCCGGTATGGTATTATACTTTCTCGGTGATATTGATGATCATTCACAATTTGTGGTTGATTTCTTTATTAAACTAATTCGATCATTTTTTTTCTTGTCTAGTATTTCTAAATATTGGATATTTGCAAACTTTTTTAATCATGTTTGTTGGATTATTGGTTAAATTATCGGCTCAATTCTTTTTTATACAAGTAATAAATAGTCCATTACTATTAACATTATCTGTATACTGAGAGAATTCCGATCCCAATAAAAGAACGAGATTATTGACACCGATGATATGGAAATCTATGATTTTCATGTACCAATAAAATTGATCAAAACCCCAAAAAATTCATGTTGTACATAAATATCTGCTCATCATCGAAAAAATTCATGTTGTACATAAATATCTGCTCGTCATCGAAAAATCAAAATTCCACATTGAAAAGCGAAAAAACCTCCCGCCAAATCTTCAAAAATGGTTGTGCAGCAGTCTAGTGATAGTTATTCCGTAAATGATTTACGGCAAGAACCAAACTTGGAAATCAACTCAACCGTAGCAGAACAAATTTCAAAGAAAGTGGGAGCCTTCATAGTAAAAGATCTCGGATATGAGAGCATTTCGGGCCAGGCTTTGGATGCTCTCGGCTTCCTCATGAGTGCATGTTTGTATTGGGACTTCTTTGTTTTCGATTCTTTTGAAACATAGTTTCGAATCATTCAAATAATTTGGCTCATTCACTAATATTAGCATTCATTAGTGTATGAATCCTCACAATTATTATAAAATTTTGATCATTATCACTCGTATTAGTCTTTGAGACAGTAGCCAGCACAGCACACAATTATGCCGAGCTTGGACGACGACATACACCAAATCTGAATGATATTGAAGAAACACTGAACGATTTGGCGATAAAAACTGGGGCACTCGAAGGTTACATGGAGAGACACAATGCAAAGTGTACGGAAACATGTGCGAGAAATCACGATAATCAACAAGAGTGTAAAGGAGGTGAGGATTAATTTGTATGCTGGGGGAATGCATGTGGCAAATGGTTAAAAGAAGATTGATCTGGTTTTTTTTATTATTTTTAGCTAAATATAAAGAGTTTAGTTTAAAGTTAAGATCTTCTTTTCTTCCTGCTCCCTCGACGCTGATACCGGAATTGCCAAACCTAGTAAAAGATGAGGACGAAGAAGTCAAACCAGAACGATATACAAAAAATAATGATAGAGAGACAAAGAAAATCTCACACAATAAAACTATACCGAACTACATACCACCTCATTTACCTCCTTTTCCACCGAAGCATTCATACAAAAGTACACCGGTAGGTGATCATTCTTATACATGTCTAATACTACTAGTTAAGTATGAATAGTTAATATTAATTTGAACCATATTGTGCAGCAAGTGGCAAAGATCATCGAAGATGATCAAATAACACTGCGAGAACGAAATATTCAACAAGTGAGAATGATGGAGAATAATCTTCGAAAACTAACGACGATGGAAAATCGCATGTTTTACTATCCGACTATGGTTGTCGCTGATGCGATAGGTGAAAATAATCTAGTAAAATTGAACTATTCAATACCAATAGTCAATTTCAATGCATACGAATATCAAGACTCATTTGAGCATGAGAATAAGAAACTCAAGAGCCGAATTGCTAACACGATGAACTTGCGGTTATATGAAGGTGCAACGCAGAAACAAAAAGCGAAAATAAAATATCAACGAAGAGAAGAAAAATATGAAGATTTTGTAACTTTCCCCAACATAGATAAAGGAAAACAGAAGGCGGAAATTCAGAGTCCTCATTATTTATCAGAGGAATTTTATGAGGAATTGGATGATATGGAATTCGAGGAAGTGTAGATTATTAGAATTAATTCTGAAAGAATGGAATATTATGTTACATAATTAATTACATAATTTTATAATCACTTGGTCTATTTACCATGCAAATCATTTATTGTGATGTATATTTTACTATTTATAAAATACCAAACAATTAATGCGTGTTTAATTTATCGTTGATTAACAATGGCACTCATGAAAACACGCTATTCACGTCTTTCCTTAACACGTTCACGTATTTAAACCCTCGAAAATTCATTATCAGTTTTGACGAATTGCCACGCATCGGTATCCAACTCACGAACACGGCGTCTTAATGATTCCATTAAAGTTTTATGATCAACGGCTTTAGAAGTCGCGAATTTTCCATGGATGGAAAAGGGTCCGAAGTGATATTATTTGCATAAAGAAACGAGAAATTTTCATAACGAAAGTATTCGACATGATATTAGGAAGAGGAATTGGAATAAAAGATAAATAAAAGTTAATTTTCACACCATATGGCATTTGCGAACTGTCCACATCCGCCATCAATTCTTCCTTTACATCTGACGGGGATGGAGAACGTGATTGTTCTATATAATAAATAATATCATCATCGCAATACAATTGGATAATAACGACGATGACAGAAAAAAGAAATATCGTCAAAAGTAACAATTATTGCCCGAGATGAAAGTTTTTTCCTACCTGGTGGATTTCCATCATTATCTTCACCACCATCACCGGCTGTATAAATTTCCATATTCACAGGATCGATTGGAAGGATTGGTTGATTATTTGTTATATCCACATTATTACTATCCCGTGGTGGTGAAAGACTATGCGTTACACTATTCGGTGATGTTGGTTCTTCGTCATTATGTGAAGATAACTCGCTTTCAAATAACAATTCGAAAGGTCGCTCACGTGGTTCGACATCACTATCACTGTCAACTGAATACATATTCAAGAAATTGTTATTTGGACTGTCATCCTCCAGATCATAATAACTATTTCCATTGTTATTACTGTTGATATTATTATTATTATTATTATTATTGCTATTACTACCACTACTATTATTGTTGTTGTTATTATTATTATTATTATTATTATTATTATTATTATTATTATTATTATTATTATTATTATTATTATTATTATT